ATCTGGAATTGGGAAATTGAACGCAGATATGAGCTTTGCGGGATGAGCAGAACTTTTGTGGTACGGATTCACCTCGCACTCAGAATTGCAATGGCTTACTGAGTGAGATGTGGCCTATACAGTAACTGAGGAAAGAGGGGGAGCGGCTGGCCTATGTACAAATTAGATTTTTTACCCATTCGGGCAAGTCAAGTTCTAATGCACCGGCCTCGGAAAATGGAGCGTGGTTGGCCCGGGAGAGAGGCGATTCGGGACTCGACTATCGAACCGCTCACATCATAAACGGGGTCCTGGACCACCTTTGACACTATACAGGAGATATCTCAATGAGGGTACGCATGGTTTCTACGGCGCTCGTGTCAGAAATGTAATATGATGCTCCCTCATATTACATGTCTACCAAGGGTATCATCATCTGTAGAGCTGGTGGGTAATCCCACAAGCGATTCCTTCAAGAAAAACTGCACACTCAATTTAAAATCCGGTCCTTGCAATGTGTGAGGAGAACGGGTCCGCAGCTGCACTCACATGCCATTTAGGTCAGAAGTGGACGAGCACGGGGCTTTAGGGAAAACATACCCGTGTACAGTCTCCATACTCCGCTCGCGCTGCCACATGGGCAGCCACGCCTAATCATAGCCAAATGTGCTACACCTCTGCGCCCTCTCACTTGTGGTCTCTCTACCGCTGAGTGCGTACTTCGCTGCGACCTTGAGGTAAAAGTGTGAGTGCCGCGCACTGAGATTGGCGCGCACGCAGTATGGAGACGGCACAAGTGAATCGCCACTGTCCAGCCCCGGCCCCGACCACTTTTGTCCGGATAAAATGGTACGCCGTTGCGGCTGCATTCACCTCACACGCGGCGAGGACTGTTCTCGAAGGTGAGTGAACAGTTCGTCTTTGAAGTACCACTACTGCCCCTACAATCCATGTGCAATAGTCGGCGGATTGAGTATGAGGGTCCATCGAGTAGCGTACGGTTGTTCTCCAGGTGTGAGTGCGACCCTCGCGAAGTTCACAAAATTCCGAATGCTAAATACTGAATCACTGAAAGCGCACTGGTCCAGTTCAACACTCCCATGTCGTAGAGAAGAGAGGCGTTGCAACTTGGTGCAAGTCTTCGGTATTCGCATCACGACCTAACTAGTTTACAAGCGCTGCCTCAACGTATATGCCTTGAACTCTATCTGAAGCTTGAAACTGTGCCTGGGCAGTCTTCTAGGTGCAGCTTTTGTGTCAATACCAAAACACCGCAGCGAAAACGTGGTCATAGATAGAGAGGTGCAGACAAGCAGCACGTAATGGTTGGCTGGCCGTGCAGCAGTGGGGATGGAGTCGGGAGACGGGCATAACTACCCTCCTGTTGCGTTCCTGTGCACTGAGCGCTGAAGACCCATTCACTCCGCACATGGCAAGGAATGGGATCCTACGAGTGAGCATAAAGCTTGTCTTCGACTCCATAGCTATCGAAATCTCACAACACGTCATCCAAAGCACAACCCGAATGTGATGAAATAAGGTGAATCTTGCATTTAAGATTGAACTTTCACCTGAAAACCACCAGAATCTGTCAGAATCGATCGCGGCCAGTTGATCATTTTATGCAATCCTCCGGCTTTTTGAACACGCTCATGACCAGGTCGATGCCCAAGATGGTATGTATTACATAAAAGGATCCGACAATCCATTGCGATCAGCTGTTCAGGTAAAACACCCTGAAAATATTCTCCGTTGTTGAATGCAGCGTGTCAGTCGATGAGTCAGCAAGGCATAGGAGAGGTTTTTCCCCAAATGTAAATCGCTATAATAATGAAAAGTAATTTGAAATGAGAATAGGCCTGATAATCCCATGTGTTCTCCTACACAAGCGTAAATGACATGAACGAAGGTGACAGAGATCAAAACACGAATAAAACGAACGTGTCATCAGTTAATCGATGACCCCTCCTCCCCTCACCCGCCCACTTCAAGGAATTAGCATTTATGGACGGCGAAAGAAGGGGTTCAAAACCTATGCACACAAAAATGATGCTCCAATGGGATCTTGGATAGTTCTTGCCGGGGAAAGAAATCCTTTCAAAAAGCCAGTTAGTAGATAAACTTGGTAAAATTATGCAGTTTTGGCCTATCACAATTCCTTTTCTGACAAAAGGAAATTCGGCAGCACCATAGTGCCTCGGCTTAGAATGTCCACATTAGCTCACCTTCATTGTTCCTTGCGTCCCCACTGGCATGAACACAGGCGTTTTTACGTCGCTATGAGGCAGTGATAACAGGCCATGACGAGCTCTGCCAGCTGTGCGAAGAATTTCGAATTTCATGACGTGTTCAGGTTCCGTTACCATGAGACCTGCAAATCTGAGCTAAGCAGCTGTGTTAAAAAAACATAAATGTTAGAACTCCAGTACTCTTGACATACAATGCACATGGCACACAAGTAAAACTCAGTCCTTTTAGCCCAGCTCATTAGTTCGCTCGAAACGAGCGTAAGTTCAGGAGATACCGAGTGCGGCATCATAACACTAAACAGTAGGACGTATTTGGCTAGCTAGCAACAACATACATTTCACCATCTCCATGTTTCATCAAATAGATTTTCGTGAATGCCGTACACGTGACGTGTTCCTAACTATGCGACTGCTGCGGCACGTGCCGGATCACTTGAAGCACATGGTGGTTCATACAGTTTTCTTTCTGCGCATTGTATATGGTCTGTTGCGTCACCTAATTTTCGGACTCTCCCAAGATACACCTACCTTACCGATGTGAAGGTACAAAAGGAACGAAAAATTGGAAAGAATGAAGCCTACTTTTTAGCTGGTTACTACACACCAGCGCCATCCCGTAAGGAACGGTTCACATAGGTAAAAAGAGAGGAGAATCCTAAGATGAGGGGAACTGCTACCTCGGGAGAGAAAGCAGGAAGGATCAGGTACTGTTCCTTCCGCGAAGTCGACACCTTTTTAGGGCCATTTGGAGTCAGCACCTTTGCCCTGAATGTGCAGCAACCGGGTGAGAGCGGGAGGTAATAACTAGGGGCTTTCGCTGGCTCACATTGTGGACTTTCTATCAATTTAAAGGGAAATCTCATTTTTTTTTTTTTCTCCCAGAAAGAAAACTTTTCAGGGAAGATAAAGAATTAGAAAGAATCTCAGGGAGGAACCTCTCATCGGAATAAATCTCTAGGGTGCCGCACTGGCATAATAACATCAATGGGGAACTCCCTACTACCTACCCACATACCCTCGCGATGGCACTTTTTTTCGGTTCCCGGTTGTACTGACACGCCATCGGAGCATCCCATTTCCGCATTCAGGATGCTGCCAGGGTCTTTTCTGGGCAGTGCTATAGCAAACTGATCGTGAGTACATCACGAGACCTCGAGGCCAAACCATCCTGAGAAATGTTTGTGAAACCAATAGCACGACGCGTTTGCAAACGTACAAACATTCAAGGCTCTTTTTCGGTGACTGATGTAAACACGGATTTTGTTCGAGACATTTAACGCGCTGCTAACGGATATCGTGTCTGGAAGTCACAACAACAATTGCAAATAAACTTTTACTATGGCGTGAATCATTCGGGAAACTAACATGAACAAATTATCAGCTTATAGACTATGTAAATGTCTGACTTAGATTATCAAATTCAAAATAGTAAAATGACAAACAAAATGAACGACTCACTAATCTATTTGTAAATACATTCGTAGACAAAATACATACAACTCCCTAGACTTTAATGAAAACCATGACGACCAAACACTTTGAGAAATTGGCATGGCATCTCACAAGTTGTCAAGTGTTTAATTTCGTGAATATCAATCGGCTTACAAATTAAAGGGGCAGGAAAGCCATGATCGTTATTAACACTTGTCAAGGCATACCTCAACATTAACTAACTAAATTCACTCAATTAATTGATGGTTCGCCCGCATTTAATCTGCTGCCGCTTTCGACAAATCAAGTGCCGCATCAGGGTCGCACACCTCCAAGGATCGCTCTGCCTTCGACTTCGGACATTGAAAGTTGTTTCAAGACCTGCAAAACCAATGCAAACGTCTATAGTTTAGTTGTAAACTGACAGGATTACTAGTTCCGCACAGCTTCCAGATCTGCTCTTACTCTTTCGCTTCAAACGACGTCTGAAGCTTTAGCAGGATTGGCGTTCAGTCTATGTTCAAACTCTATCTTTGGACATTATAGTCCTGCCCGAATCCATGAAAGATGTATTACTATCGCAGTAAAAAATACGTGACGGAAGCGCGACCCGCTCGCGATGAAGCCGGCTCCCCACCCACTGGACACCGCAACGCCCAATTTTCATTTCTGAAGAGCTCCTGGTGGTTCGCTACTAACTCTCTCATCACGAGTGAGAGTGAGGACAAGATGAACTAAGGGAAAAGAGCTGATATCCCTGTGATACCAACAAAAAAGAACCCGTGTACATCAGTGAATCACGCCCTGTCTTCGTCTTTCGCACATACAAGTGCATTTCATTCGTGGGTTCTACGTTAAGCGACCTTAATTCGCTCGTTTTGGGAGTACAAACATGAATTCGCAGATGACTTATCGGTGGAAAAGGAGTGGACAAAACCGTCGAAACACCACACCAACCCCCCCTCCCCGAATAGCCAGGCCGTTCGTGCTGCACTCGAAGAATGCAAACAAGAGTTGTCGAAGGTCCCCGCCCCCCCAAAGTAGAACTTACAAAACCGGAACTTGTGAAGCAGCGAAAGTGCAAAAGGTCCTTTCCCCGTAGCCGAAGTACGCCTTGTGGAAGGCGCCTTTGAATAACGCGCTAAATGAATAAACAAATAATAATAAAATAAAATTAGTGAGCGACGAACCTGTGATGCTTGATTTACTGGATACACGACATAATCTGGTGCTTCTATCTGTCCACCAGCAATGAGATGTACCAGATTCCTTTAGCTGCTCGATACTTCTCTGAATATAATCAATTTATATTTGAAGTATGATATTTAGTAAAAGAAGCGATTTTCAAAAAAATTGACCCTTACTCTACAGAACTATTTTCTTCGAAAATTTAGATTTACTGTGGCAAATCTTCTTCACCAACTCTGAAGAGTAACCACAAGCTCACGTGTACTTCACTTCGAGAACTCGCTGTACTGTGTCATGATATTTCGCTACAAACTTCACTGGTGACGCGACAAAGAGGTTGTAATGTTTACGGACTCCTTCGGGTGCCAGTTAACGAGCGTAGCGAGAGGAAGAACCATTGACGAGAAAGCCAAAGGAAAATGCCGTTGGACTACAAAAAGTTATTCGTTCTCGGTAATAAGGACGACGGCTTCAGTATTTTATCTCATACTTCCCCTGGGAGATGCGCGATAAGCGCGGCTGTGGCTATTTCACGTCAAACATAGTGTAGGATAAGGTCAATCGAGATGAAAATCTGAAGAGCCTCACCTTGCCTAGAGTTTGACAAAGGAATGGGTTACATGGTCCCGAATTGGAAAAAATATTCCGGCAAAAGTGCAGCCATCATGTGAAGTAGGAAGGCACTCCTACCGCCTCCCAGGGGTCTGGAGTATACGAAGCGGCGGCAAGAGAAATTGTAACATAACAAAAAGTAAGTTCAATAAGATATGAGACATTCGAACGCATTCGCTCTCAGACAAAGAATGCAGAAAAATCTCGGAGCAGCTCCTGCTTGAACCTATCAATAGAGACAAAACAGAGAATTCCTCTGAATGATTAAATCACATACAGAACAAACTTAAGAGGTTCGTTACGCCTCTTAACTAAACGAACCATTTTTATCGTTACTATCACATAAAATGCTGAGTTATGGGCAAAAGTCGGACCACGGGATTCGAACCCGCATATTCTGCTTACCGGGCAGTTGCGTTCCCTATTACGCTGCCGAGGCCACTTTTGACCACTCAGCTCAATGGCATTTTTGCATAGCCTTACAGCACTCACACGTTCAACGTGATGAGCCGGTTAGCCGATATCGGCAATGAACCGCAAGGCTGAAGGCTTTTTACAAGTTTTTATCGTTAGCTTCAAAAATATAAAAGGAGGTGATGAATCATGATAACAGAATAAGACAAGCCTCCCATCCCTCCAGGATCGGTCAATGGAACCATAATCCTCGGGGAAGGATCATATTATACACTGTACTGCCCAGCAGGTACTGCATAGGTTGGATCTCATTTGATCACTAGCACTCTGAATAGTAGTAAAATCCGGAGCACCCCAGAAGAGGACTATTAATCGTTAAAAAAGATTCACCACCTACTTCTCTGTTCCTGACACCACCCCTCCCCCCTCTCCTAGCCTCTATGAAACCATTACCAAGGAACAAGGCAATGGATGAGACAGGAGAAAGGAAGTTACATCGCCCGACATCACGACATGCCTAGCAAGCCATTGCAAGTCTTGCATGTGCTTCAGGCCGCAAAAAATTCCTTCGATATCCCCGCCATGTTAGAACAAAACTATTTTGACATAAAAGTTTAGTAATGGTGAACGTAAAGAACTACCGTCAGAAGAAGCAGTGATAAGCTAAGCGATAACCTCAAAAAAAATCAAATATAACAATGATACCCGTTGTTTTCTTTTACACCTGGCAAAGAAATGAACGGCAATTTTGCAAACCCATAAAAATTTTGTTGAAAAAACTGGAGTTTGCTGCCTGAGTGAAGTGATATCTTTACCTCGTGACACCCATGATAGCGAGCCTGTTCTTTGCAACAAGTTTAATGGGAAGTTGAACGTCCAATCCAGATAGTCCACCAACGAACAAAACGCCACCCTTAAACAGAAAATTGACATAACAACACCATAGAAATTTATAACCAGTATGACATACCCGCTCTGGGGCAAGCTATTTCAGCGAACGAGTTAACAGTTCTTGGTGATGTGAGCAAATCAATATACAACATTAACACGGTACGTTGCCACATCTTTAGTGCGCATGAATCCAATATCTTCGAATTCTGTAAATATAAAACCAGTAAATCAAACGATCACGGATAAAAAAATTTTTCCCAGAACGAGTGGCGGTGGGTGCTCTTCAGCATGAGACGAAACTCTCAATCTGGTTTCTGACATAGCGGTTCTATGAAGGAACAAATTCACAGACAGCTACTAACCCGAGTCGTCCCAGTGAACAACAAAATCAGCACCATTCCTCTCTGCCAGGCACAGCCTTTCTTCTTTTGCGTCAGCAACCATCAAGCGGATTTTTCTAGAAATAGGAGATTCTGAGCAAAAGGCATGCCTCCTTGTCAACAATGCAGACATTGCTATTTTTGAGGGGTAACCTGAGATTTTCACAAAAGTCTGTTGTCTCACAAACGTCCAATAAAAGCCCACTTACAAGGGAATGGTTTCAACTTCCCATGGAACTTTGAATGGAGACCTAGGTACATCGATAGAGTCTCGAATGCTGATTACGAATATGCAGATTAAAAGTGCTACGGGGACCTCCCAGACGAGTTCTGGGCGCAGTTTGCGAAAACTCAGTTTTGGCTCGTAAGCGCTGCTGATCGATCGCTAGGCAGTGCCACCGTGGCCTAGTGGTAACGGTCTCGCTTCAAAGGCAAATGCTTGTGGGTTTGCATCCCGTTGGCGCGAAAGTTTTTGCTTCGTCTCCTATAAGAGCTTTTACTCTAATTTTCGAAATTCTTCCGAGTTTACGGCCCAGCAGAGCAAGTAGATCAAGTATATGACGTACTCGATCAAGTATGGATTTGATCACTATCTGCCCTCTCTGAACTCATTACCCATCCGACAATTCGAAGTTTTGGCCAGAATCACAATTTGGCCAGAAACTCGTTTCTGGGGGTATTTTGACCCCCTGAGCACAAATATCACATCCGTTTGACGCGAAAACGATCGGTTCCCTCGTTCAGTTGATGACCACAACAAAGTGAAAGGCTGCAAGCGTTTTCTCGTCTCAAACGGATGTGATATTCGTGTTCAGGGGTCAAAATAACCCCAGGAACCAGTTTCTGGCCAAACTTCGAATTGTCGGATGGGTAATGAGTTCAGAGAGGGCAGATAGTGACCAAATCCATACTCGATCGAGTACGTCATATACTTGATCTACTTGCTCTGCTGGGTCGTAAACTCGGAAGAATTTCGAAAATTAGAGTAAAGCTCTTATAGGAGACGAAAGTGTTTGGCTTTGAAACGAGACCATTACCACTAGGCCGCGGTGGCAATCGCCCAGAACTCGTCTGGGAGGTCCCCGTAGCACTTTTAATCTGCATATTCGTAATCAGCATCCGAGACTCTATCGATGTACCTAGGTCTCCATTCAAAGT